GTACGAGTTACCAGAACTCGCGCGCAACAGCAGCGACGGTTGTTCATGCACAATTTTGAGGTACACTGGTTTTCCGTGATTTAGTCGGCCGCGGTTGTCATGCACAGATCTACGTTATTCTAGAGAATATATACCGAATTTACTGATGTCTATATTATATTAAATACCGAACTCATGAAGTTTATCATTGGCAATAGTGACTAACCCGGCGGCGCACACTTATCATTTGTCCACCATGTTTTCGATCGGCAAAATAATACACGATCACATATTAAATATTTTATACATATTATCAAATGTGGACTTTTAGTTAAAACTAGTTAAACTAGTTAAAGAGTTCATTTTTTTCCTTTTTAACTTTCAACTAGGTTGTTTATTTTTTAATAATTTTTTTAATTTGACTAGTTTAATTGACAGTTGAAATAACTTAGTTTTTCACAGTTGATTTAAAAATGATCTATCAAGTAAGAACATTTTGAAATTTTTCATTTATACGTAAATATTAATATTAAAACTAAATAATCATTTAAAATAAAATGGTCGCATACACTGTACATCAGATGTCATTAGATTTTGTAGGTTGGGGCTCCACTTTTGGGTATTGGGTTCTGGATGTGGAAATGTTATATATAAAAAATTTTAACTATAAAGATAAATAAATACGGTAGTAATGTACAAGTTCATAGTATTTTTCAAACACTTCGGCGCTACTGCTGTATATTATGATAAAAAATTCAATAAAATTGTTTATTATTAGCTTCACCTGATATGAAAAGTTCGGTATCTAGTATAATATAGACATCTGTGACCGAACTGAATGCACAATGTATTTTTAGCAGGCAACAGCATGGTCTTAGAAGATAGATCTATATTAGATTTATATTATATCTTCTATGACCGTGGACAACAATAAAGCAAATAGATAAGTCAGCCACTCGGTTGTACAAAAATTAGTTTTTGTATATTATCTATGATCATAGAACATGATATTATGTAACACAAAATGCCTTGTATAATGTTAATTAATAATTGTATGTTACATTGTTTATAATTTTTATATTAATTGATTATGTAATAAAACCAAAATGCATGCACATTGCAAGACTGGTTTTTGTCACTGTTTAAGTATCAAATTTTCAATTTTTTCGCTCCCAAAATTTTTCATAATAAGTACATTAGCACTATTATTAAAAAAATAGCAACACCATAAAAAAATCCTAAATCCGCTATTGTTGACAATTATGTTTATCTATCACGTTGGAATATCAGAATTTTGAATAGATGATAAGTCGCGAACGACAAACAAGCGTTGCAATGGTAATATTCACATATGTGTTACGTTCTATCGTATTATGTACACTCAATACCATTGTGATACTGAATATATGTATTAGGTGTACATATTATTTTTGATTTCTATATACGTCGAGTTTACTGATACATTTTATCTATCAACGCTTCGAACCATACGTAACGTTTTTCAGAAATGCATACTATTGAAAAACCGGCATTCGTTTAGCAGGTAAGCTAACGGCCTCTTTTTAGGTATATCAGGTGTTCTACCATATTATACTAGGTGTAGTTGGTTAGTTATCTACAATTATTATTACTTAGTATTATATTATACTATTATTATACGCACATTATCGTAGACCGCAGTGGAACAGTATTGTGATAATGATTAATGTTATATTGTAAATATATTGTTATATTATTTCGTAATTATATTGTAAATTTCATTACATTTACAATATAACTACGAATCATTAGCAATGTTGCTGGTTAGTTTCAAATTGTTCGTTGGTTGGAGTTTGTTTATAAAGCGTGCGTCTGAATTTTATAAAATGTTTACTGTAATTGAAATTATAATTATAGTTAGCTAATTATTTTTTATTTTTATATTTGACAAATATTTGTATGATATGACGAACTCTTAATAAAAAAATTAATGTGTTTTTATACTGTTAAAACGTAGATCACTCGTCCTGAATTCGCAGATCACCCATCCCCCGGTAGATCACTTGCTACACGAATGCCGAAAAACCCAGATAAATAATATCCTTTCGATATAATCTTTTTCAATTCGAAGGTTTTACAAATATGACCAACCACAGTTCACACGTTTTAACTTACATAATTAAATTAAAATGATCTTGATAGTTCAATCCATAAAGTTGGAAATTATTTTTACTTGGTAAACAGGACAAGATTGATATTTGTTTGGGAACTATGCATTTTATTTTGGTTTATTTTCTTTGGTATATTTCTTATTTTCGTGTGGGAGTAGCTATTGTTTCAAATCGTTTTTAAGCGCTACGATTTTCCATTAGTTTTAAATCTATAGTACTATAAGTAGTTTATTTCCTATAAATGTGTTTCGGTAAACACTTTTCTATGAGGACAACAACAGCTGTCCATTTAACATTTTATTGATAGTACTGCCCCTAGAATTTCTTTTTCATTTTGGTTTTAATATAATTTTTGTATTTTTGTAGGTGCTTATTAAATTTGAATTATATTTTTAAAACAAAAAGGGGCTTTAGTATAATATTTTTTTTTATGTTTTGCAACTTTTAACAACTCCCCATTGAGTTTTAATTAATTTTACTTTTGCATAATAAATAAAATAGAAATTGAAATTGTTGTATTTAGTAAAATAATAAGTAGGTCATAATACAATTGATTTTTAATCGTTCGTTCCAAATACTGAAATATAATACATAAAATTTGAGTCTCTATAAATATTAATTTTTTTAATAAATTAATAAATTCTAGTATTATTAATGAATAAATAAAGTTAGACAAAAAACACAATTAAAACAAACTGGCTGTTTAATATATTCCTCTTTTTAGTAAAATATCTTAAATAATTGTTTACTACGAGGTATATTATATGATACCTACTGATTAATGATTTTTATCTCCAACGTTAATAAAATGTTTTTAATCATTGATTACCAAGGTTAATAGATAATAATTATTATCTATAAATCTCGCGTAAAATTAATTCACTGATTTTTATCACATTTGTTAAATTAAAAAAAATATTAACTTTTAGTGTTTAAAATTGTTTTCTTTTTTAATTTTATCCGTGTAAATCATACAACTGTTAAAGATATTTTTTTTAAATTTTATAATCTATGTGACAAACGTGATGTATGATTTTCGTATTTTATTAAATAATGTTATCTATTGTGTTTGGATCGTTTTTGTCTGTATTGAATGGCCGTCTATATTTAACACATTAAAAAAATAAAATAAAAAAACAATAAAAATAATATCGACAGGTAAAATATGGGTGACGTGATTATGTTCATTTAAAAATTAAAAACTTTCGATTTAAATCATTTTTCTACGGTTTAATGAAAATATGTCTATACCAAGTTTCATAATACGCTTGAAAAAGTATCTATCTAAAGTAATCTATCCATTTCTATTAAATAATTTTGATTTAATTAGTAAAATTATTTAAACAATCAATTGAAAAATATAGATTTCATTTTTTTATTACTTCTATGAATAATTTAAATAAACACAGATTTTTCGTTTTTTATTTGTATACTATTATTAATTTAAATTACATTTCAATTTATATTTTAAACAGTTTAGTTATCTATCAAAAGGTTAATATTGAGTGTACAAAATTTTAAGTGGGAAACACGCTTATGTTATACAATTCAAATTAATTTAAAGTTATTAAATGAAAGTATTCTTATAATGCGATTATAAAACAAAATCTTTGGATTATTTTACCTTGACCGAACACCATAAAAAAAAATAAAAAGAAAACATATTACATTTTTGTCTGAAATGGTTTCTGTTTAATATGCAGCGTTTAAAGCTTTATAATTTGGAATGAGAAAGTAACGAGTTTCAGCCAGAAAATTTATGAATATGATAAGAAAAAAAATCTCGAAAAAATGCGGCAAACCCAGAGCTGTTATGTGGCGTTAACATTTTTATGGAATCGTTATTATGCCTATAAAATAAAAAATAAAACTACGCTAATAATATTGTCTAGGCGCCAAATTATAATAATAAGAATGCTCAAAGTTTAAACGCCCCTTACGATTAGCCTTATAGTGGAATGAATGAACGGGAAACATTTACGAGTGATGATTGCATAAGTTTAAATACATTTTAATTGTTTTAGAAAACAATTAATATAACTGAATGCCTTCATATAAGAATTATAATAAGACTTTATGAGTTTGCTTTTAAATGGAACAATGGTAAATAAAAGACCATTTGCATTTACTTACCGTTGTACGATTTACAATATTTCATTGCATAAGATGTTGAAATATTATTATTATATAATAGTGTAAAAAAAAGTTAAGTGTGTACTGTATGTGATATCGTATCGTAAAAATATAATAATTTTGATCTATCAATAAATACATTTTTGAAATAAAAAAAAATAAAAGAAGATAATAACCGATGTTTTATCTACAATTTTCTATCCTAAATGATTCAACTTCTCTCTTATTTTGAACTTAAATAATTACTATTGATTCGATATAGAAACTGTTTTACTTTACATTAAGAAATTAAAAATACATGTTAATTTTTAAATAGTAAGAATCATTGTTAAATATATGATTTTATTTCAGATATACCGTTTGTACAATGACTTCGTATTGTATAAAAATATTTTTTAAAACAAATATACGAGAGATATTTTTTATATATTTTTTTCTTGTTAACAGCCCAAGGGCTGGTTGGCAGCAATTCTCTACTCCTGACGCTTCTCCGCTTTCCTTTTTAATTCACAATAAGATCTGCAGTCCATATCTCTTACTATTTGACTAATGTAGTCCAGTGGCGGTCGTCCTCTTCTGTTAATTCCTTCAATGGCATCTTCTATTATCCTGCCAAGTAGACTGTTTTGACGCAGAATGTGTCCAATTATTTTTTATATTATATATTATTATTTAGTATATATATTATAGTATTATCAGTTATCAGTTGACTGTTGTACTGTGCGGACGTGTCTTCGATATTTTTGTTTCTATCGCTGTTGCGTGTATACGTCGTTATTGCTAAATTTCCGAAATGTCGTTAACCTGTGTAGATTGTTCTAGCCACTTTGCAGAATTGGATGCTCCAATCAAATGTGATAGTTGTTCAGGTGCATTCCATACAAAATGCGCGAAACTTTCAAACACGGAAATTAAATGTCTGTCATTGAAAAATAGATCACTAAAATATTTTTGCTCGACATGTGAACAAGGTTTGAAGGAACTACCCGAGTTAAAATTACTGATCAGGAAATTACTTGTGGAAGTTGAGGGGCTCAAAAACTGTCCTTTACAACGTCCAAATGATGGAGTTTGTAACGAATTTATTATAAATGAAATAAATGAGCGAAACAGACGTGCGGCAAACCTTATCTGCTATAATGTTATCGAAAGTGATTCAAACCAGTCCGATGTTCGTATTGCTCATGACCGTGATCAGGTAAATAATATTCTTGCTACTATCGCAGATTCAACAAATTCGGTATCATTACCGATCAAGGTCATTCGTATCGGCCGTTGTCAATCGAATAAACCGAGACCTTTAATAATTACGTTCGGTTCTATATCAGAAGCTTTTAATATTATGAAAAATAAAACCAAACTCTTATCCAGATACCCGACAATTTCAATAAGCTCGGACCGTACCCAATACCAAAGAGATCATATGAAAAAACTTCGTGAGGAATTGGCTTCGCGTATATCAAATGGAGATCTCGAATTAACTATAAAATTTATAAGAGGAGTACCGACAATTATTAAAAAATCTATTATTAACAATGTACAAAATTCCCAAAGAAATTTTTAAATTTGCATGTTTTTTACCAAAATGTAAGAGGTCTGAGGACAAAATTAATTTATTTTCGTAATTCAGTTCTTACTCTTGATTGTGATTTATTATTTTTATCTGAAACTTGGCTTAATATAAATTATAGTGATGAAGAATTAGGACTTGTAAATTATAATATTTTTAGAGCTGACCGTGAATCTAATCATGAAGTCAGGGGTGGTGGAGTTTTATTAGCTATAAATATTAAATACAATTGCATTAGAATACCCACAGAATGTATTGTTGGTATAGATTTTATTTTCACTTTATTAAATTATAACAATTGTAAATTGTTATTAAGCTGCGTTTATATACCTCCAAATACACATAATTATAGTTACACTGCTTATTGTGAATTAGTAGAAAGAATAATCTCCTCTCATTGTATTACAAATATCTTAATCATAGGTGATTTCAATATACCCGGGTTTATATGGTCAATCAATGAACCTTCATTAAATAATATTGTTAATCTGGTTGCAAATAGCTTCATTAACTATCTTGATTTAAAACAGTGTAAAAATGTCGCAAATCATCGCAAAGATATACTCGACTTAATTTTCTCAGATAGTCAAATTAATAATATTCGTAAAAGTTTATCCCTTACACCGATTTTTGATGCTTATCATCCACCTTTGGAGTTAATCTACCCGTTAACCACTAGTCCAGTTACTCTTGTTGAATCATCAACTCCTATCATGTATAATTTTAATTCATGTAATTTTGATGAAATGTGTACATTTTTATCAGAATTTGATTTTATTTATAATTTTAAAAATTTGAGTTTGGCTGCAACTACTTCTAAATTTTATGAAATTATAAGGCATACTTTTGATGTTTATGTTACAAAATTTAAATTTAATCCTAATCATAATCAAAACATTACGTGGAAAGACCCTGTCCTTCGAAATCTTATACAATTAAAAAAACAAGCCCATAAACAATTTAAATTAAGTAATTCTCAACATGATTATTTCACTTTTTCTGAACTTCGTAAAAAATGTAAAGCCTTATCCATCCAAGTCCATGCAAACCATATCTTGAAAATTGAAAATAATATAAATAGTGATTCGAAGTATTTTTGGAAATATATCCAATCCTTGAGATCAAATAAAACTAACATCCCTGCTACTGTATACTTGGATAATATTGTTTCTGACAATTTTAATTATACAACAAAATTATTTGCTGATTATTTCTCCTCCGTATACATTGATTATTCTAAAAATACTAATTCATATGATGATACCCTGTTAATTAATCATGACATTAATTTGAATACTTGGTTTATTACGAAGCTTGAAATTGCAGACATGCTTAGTGCATTAAATGTGCGATCTGGTACAGGACCAGATGGTATCCCTTCATCATTTTTGAAATCATGTAAATCAGCATTAGTTAAACCCTTATTTTACTTATTTAATTTATTTATTAACTTTGCAGATGATCACGCAGTTATGGCAACACATTTTTAAGAGTTTTTATAAAAGTTTGAAAGCCCAGGAGAATATTTCTTGGTAAAAAAAAAGTCTAAAACCATTTAAGTTTGATTTTCAACTTAAAAAAAGTTTTATAGTGTTTTAAAGATTGTTTGTGAAAGTTTGATTTAATAAAATGTATTGAATAAATATATAAAAATAAGTTAATTAACTAAACTATTGCTTTATTTGTTTAGTATGTTTAACTTCACAGAGAAGACCATAGCATTTGATAATAATGCATTTAGATATTACATATTTAACTTAACATGCGTCTACTATCAGTAAAAGAATTTAAAACAAGATGATTTGCAAAAGGAAGGTGGTTATGCCAACAACGTGAAATATCTAGTATAACAATGTTAAAGATTAATATCATTAATATTTACACAGTCTTATTTTATCTAACAAGCCAAAAACATTTACAAAAATTATTTTTTATTGAGTGTTTATCAAACACATTTAAATTATAAATCTTGTTTTTTAAATAAAATATTAATACTTGAAAATGGGAATGAATTTTTTTTTTTAACATTCTTGGGTGTAATTATTTCAAAATGCCTGTTACTATAAAATTTCTCATTAGTTTTTATTTGTTAAATACATTAGGCAGCTAAGTAACGCCGTATCAATATTATTTTATATCATTGCACAGTGATTAAGTTTAACATAAATAATTTTGATATCAGTCAATCATAAATATTGAAACTGTTTAAACTGTGTTTCATTTTCTTATAAAGAAAATAAGAACGATTTTTTTTTTTACAAAAAATTTGAAAAAATTTGTTTCTAAAAGTTATTTATCCCACAAGTTAGGTCACATCAACTTTTAAACTCAATTAATATATATGGATTAACTTCTTATTTGTTCAACAAATATAATCTAAGATTCGTGAGTAATTAGAAGACTATTACTATTCATAAGCTTATTAAAAAATATCTGTCTTATGAATTCGTTCCACGGGATACATGTTTTGTTTTTTTCACGCCATTAAGTTCAAAGTTCCCTTTCTGTATTTACGTAGAATATAAGTGATATTTTTGCCTGATGATTGTTAGTTTTGTACAAAACATTTAATTAAACGTATAATATATTCAAATACATACATATTATTACTAAAGTAAAATTAACGCTATAAAAATACTCATGAACAAATAGAAGATTAATTATTATGTATGTGTTAAACGAACCAAATAATTTATAATTTCATATAAAATGCAAAGTGAAATGTTAGTCATTGCGATTTGTTACCTTTTTTTTTGTAAAAGAAAACAAATATTTATACTGTTACGAATGAAATCAGGAAATTAATCATATAATTAAAAATGTAAATTCTATATCAAAATTTGAACACATTATGGTAAATATGCCAACGATTATTTTTTATTCGAATTCATAAAAAAAAAAAAATTGCTAAACGTATATGACAATTTCATTGGTATTATGCACATTACTCAAATTTATCTTGCGATATAGTTTATATAAACGGCACCTCGTAGTGATAGATTTTAAATAATTTGAAATACAATAGTCATCAAACGCATTCAATGGAATAAATTGCATCATTTTATTGAAGAATCGGTACCTAAATGCTCGAGAATATGCTCTGATATTGTACAAATATGTTCTTTGCTCTTTTCGGAATTATGTCAATTATCATCTCTCGTATGTTTATGGCTACGAATTACGAACACGTTGACTGTAATGATGTGCATTGCGGAAATACATTTCAGTTCACCGACGGACCATTACGTGTTTCGTATACAGCATAATCGCATTACAATCCGCGTATGCTAGTGCCAGTAGCTTAATTCTATAGGTTGGAGCTTAGAGCTGTAAAGTAAGTGTCGGGCGCGTGTTCCAGAAAATCCTGTTTTGGCCGTATTCAATTTTCGTTTAACGTGCACGAGTGTGTATGTACTTGCACTGAACGGTTTTCTATAACTGCCACTGGCCGACCAAGGTTTATGATGACATCCCGGCGCGGACTATAAATTACGATTTATGGGCATAAACGTTCTTGGGTGTTTCACTAGGATTCGCAATATAAGACTTTTAAAACTGTGAAATAGCCAGTTGAACACACAAAACTTGAATATTTTCCGAAAACTTTTCTGTGAACTAGCAATTACGCTCTGGTGACTACTATCGAATATTACACATTAGCACCCTTAGTACGTTATCATAATATTAAAAACAACGCAAAACTATGTCTAGCCTAAACCAACGAAAGATGTCGATATCGTACTTAATTTATACTTGATCTAGAGAGTATCATCAAAGACCAAAACAATAATGTCTGTCATTCATTCTGTTTATTATTCATAGAAATATTTTTTTCTTCATTTCCGAAGTACGATTGACGCATAAATGCAAATAATTCATTAATTTTTAATTTTGTATATTCTCATATCGAGTGTATAATATCTATTTAAATATATATATATATATATATATATTTTATAATACATGTGTATATATATATATATATATGCTCACTATAGTTCAACTTATATTTATGAATTTTTCAATCCATTTTGCCGTACAATATTTTATTATTGTTATTATTTGATTCATGTTTTGCCTTCGAATTATTTTATGAATAATTAATATTAGGCGGGTAACAGATTATACTTATAGTTTATATTTGGTGTTTCATAGAAAACATCAAAATATTTCTGTAAGCTTCTTAAATTGTAAATTATTTCATATATGTTATAAGTTTAATAAATAGAATTTAATAAAAATAATAAATAAATAAAATTAAAAAAAATATATTTACTATTAAAATGAATATGTTATTGATGTAGATGTTATTATTCTAATTGTTGGATTGGTTTTAAGAGCGTGTTTAAGAGATATAATTCGGATCAAGGAATCATATTTAACAACTTTTTTTTTTTGTTTTTGATACTTTGTGAAACGAGGATATAAATGAGAGTAAAATTTACTAATTAATAACATTTAATAGAAAATCAGTTTTCAATAAAATTATAGCAATATCACTTAACCTTTCATAGTTCATAGGAGATATCAAATAGTTTTCTTTATTAATTTTAACTTGAAAAAGCTCTATTCATCTGATTCGACCTATACAGGCATTGTTAAAATAATAGGAAGTGCTATAATTATGTTAAGTACAAAGTTATCACTATTTATAATAAACTGTAACACTTCTAATGGAGTACTATTGAGTTTCAATAATTCAAATATTGCTACTAAATCATCCGTCATTTCCATTGCATCAATATCTGATGTACTAAGATCTTCATTTTATGAAAATAACAATTGAAGATCTATACAATTTTTCATAATATTATCTTTTGTTATATTTTTTATTTTTCTTATGTCGAAAACTTAAAATGATCGTAGTGGTAGTGCTTTAGCTGAAGTTTTCTTCAATATAATTGATTTCTACGTTCAATATATAAAAGTATAACTCAACTTTAAATTTAGTTTTTAGTTTTTAATTAAATTATATGTTCATTGAATTGGTCATACGAAAAGAAGAACACAGTTTAATTTTTTCATTGACGAATAGAAACTCGTTAAGTGAAAAAAGTCTCAATAGAATCATCGGTAAACGAGATATTTTCTTATATTTAATCTTTTCATATTTCATGTTTAATGTTTTTCATTCGAAATTTTTCATCCCTAAACTAATATCGCCTTTGGCAACTGTTTATTTTGCTTCCACATTGGACCAGCCCACACATATGGACATATTACTATAGTAACTACTACCATCACTATAGTTATCAGAGATGGCACGATACGAGTTTTATAGAAGCATGCTTCATGATTAAAATGGGGTTTACTAACCTACTGCTAACAGTTTTGTGTGACAAAAAAGTTTAATACATAATTGGCATATTTGAAATAAAATATTATTTCATAATATTTTCTTTGAACCTGTGTCGGATCTAAGTCTCAGAAAACCGGGGTGCAAATACCAACTTGAGGTCCCTTTAAAATTTTTTTTCTCAATATAACAGATACATGTTCATGTATTCAACAACTTATGAACACAATGAAATTTAAGTACCTCAACAAATATGTAAATTTTAAAAGAGATTGAAAAAATAACGAATTGGACAATTTTAAATTTTAGTTATTGGTTATAAAGGTCCCTTAAAGATTGAATCTTTAGTGTGTTACACCCCTTCCACCCGCGCTAAATTCAGTACTAGTTTAGACTTTTTAATTTTAATATTTACTTTGTATCTATAAATTTGACTTGGGGTGGGTACTCGATACACGTAATTACTTCATTGGTAAATAAGCTTCGTGCAACCATTGATAGTACACATCAAATATTCGACACTTTTGGTGATGAGTGTATGAGATATATAATATGTATGGATAATCTGTGCTTAATTATATGTTTGCTATTTATATGAATAAAAAATATTTTTATATTTTTATTTTTTTTATTAAAATAAATTTTAATTTAACGTAAACCTTATTTATGAATACAATGATTATTAATATTTATACGAAAAATCGTTTATCATTATTGATCATTAATGACAAATGAACCGAGTACTGAATTTTTTTTTTTCGTTAAAACCAATTCTATAATTTACTGTCAATTTTTTATTCGATAAGCTTTACTAGTTGATGGGAAAAAATGTAATTATTTGATACTATTTAAACTATATTATTATTTAGCTTTATACTATTCAATAATTAAATATTTGTTTTAAATTCAAATTGTACTTCTGTATAAATGGATGTGTAGTGTATTTATAAATGCTTCCAAAATATACACTTCGATAAAAAAAATTAAGAAATGGATGCTAAGAATTTATCATTCTATCCACTTTGGTACAGTAAACCGGCACACAACTGAAAATTCAATTGCATCTTAAAGCGAGTGCAAGTGAACAACAACACTTAAACTAAAAATGGGATGAATTTTATATAAAATGCAATCGTATTAGTTCTTATTACTCATTTTAAAAGAATTGATAATATTTTTTAGTAATATCTATAAACTAGAAACGATTTCCAACTATTAGAAATTAATAAATGGGATTTTT